TAAAAATTTTCTTTTAAAAACATAATGTGGACGTCATTTCATAAAAAATCTGACATATGTCTCAAAAACCATCTATGACACCTTGAGTACAATAGTCTTTGGTCATAACCCATAAAAGTCTAAACATGAAATAACATAAATGACAACGTAGTAGTGATGTCCTAGGATGCTATGAGGACTGACTTATCTTCTTTCGTTGCAAGCCTTGGAAATTCTATCCTGGATAGAAACTCAATATCCTCAAGACCCTATATGGACAACATGTAGGCAATATGCATTAGTGCGATATTTACTAAATATGGAAACTATCATAGAAAACATAAGATACCTCAAACGGTTAGTCAACAATAGACATAATCATAAGAGATAAATACATAAGCATAATATGAGTAACATAATAATATTATAGCATCATAAAAATATAAGAGTTAATACTTAACTCATTGTCTTTCTTACTTAAATGAATTAGATCACAAGCCACCTCCAAGTATACTAGTGCAAGACTAAGATAACATCCTATACTAGTATCAAAACTAAGTACTTCTCTTTGGTCATTCTTGATCATAGTCCAATTTCATAATTAAGACCTAAGTTCAACATATCATATGATCACTATGACCATAGGCCCCCTCAAAGCACACTTGTGCAATGCATGTGAAGTATCCCATACTACCTCACACACTAAGCATATCTTGAAGTTATCCTATCTTGTTTCATGTATTCTTAAAAGTCTCTAGTAGACTTATATCATCTATACTAAAGAGTACTATACCCTTATGATTTCCTCAAAACATGCTTGTGAAATTTACATAAGGCAGTCATACTACCTTACATACTAAGCCTATCTTGAAGTTATCATTAACATGTTCACCCTCCATAGCCTTATCACTACTTAACTTCTTTTATTAAAATTCTTTCATCTTGTGTCTACCTTACTAGGAAAGGCAACTCTTGTCCAATCCCTATATTCAATCTCTTTTTATTTAATGACCATAGGTTATACCTTGTGCAATGCACTTATGATGCCCCATAACACCATTCATGCAAGGTACTACTTTTGGATCCTTTTCTAGTACTTCTCAATTTGGAGCATAGCTTCTATAATTATCTTTTTAACACTATGAGATACTTTATTAAGCATGTCTATGTTCCTTAATCATATGGATCCTATCAGATACTTTTCAAGGCATGTCTTAGTCCCTTAATAATCATGAAAACTACGAGATACCCTTTGGGCATGTCTAATTTCATTTACACATTATGAACACTACGAGATACCCCTTGGGCATGTCAAAGTTCATTCACACATTATGAACACTTCGAGATACCCCTTGGGCATGTGTATTTTCATTCTTTGCTTTGAACGCTACGAGATACCCCTAAGTCATGTCTAAGTTCATAAGATATGGAGATATTGACTAGGATACCCTGACTCAACTACGTGAAGGACTACCGCCTCATGATATCTACTTGTATAGTCATCACAACTACTAGGTGTGGCTCTTATTTCTACATGGATTCCGGACCCTTGCTAGACTATCCGTCTCACTTTGAATATCCACTTGGAGTCAAACATATACTCCAAGGTTTTCTTGTCAAGCCTTTCTCAACACTTTTATCTCATGGAGGGATGTCCAAGGCAATCTCTCCATTCTCAAGTGAATCTATCATTTTGATTCAATCATCCTTAATCTACAGTCAACACGACAAACCTAAGGTTCATTATTCATCAATTCATTCTATCCACACTTTTCTCTCATTGAGGGATGTCCTAGACAATCTCTCCATGCTCAAGTGAATCTATCATTTTTATTCAATAATCCTTAACCTACAGCCAACACAACCAACATAAGGTTCATTATTCATCAATTCATTCTATATTCAATTATAGGTAGATTATAGGACCATCTAGCCTTAGTTTTCTTCTTACATTGTTCATTACTAGGTATAGAAGAGAAGAGAAACATAATTACAATTATCCTCATTATGAATTCACACTCAAATCTCTAGCAACCAATGGACATAATTGTCACGACCCAAATCGTGTCGTGAGTGGCACCCACATTTATCCTCCTATGTGAGCGAACCAACCAATCTAAACCCTAATCATCTACCAATAATAAACAGAAAATAATGCGGAAGACTTAAACTCATTAACGAAATCAATTAACAACTTCTAAAATTTATCAATTAATATTCCCAAAATCTGGAAGTCATCATCACAAGAACATCTATCCTCGAATTCCTAATTCTAAGAGTATCTAGAAAGCTAAAATAAATATAAAGCTAGTCCATGCCGGAACTTCAAGGCATCAAGACATGAAGAAGAAGATCCAGTCCAAGCTAGAAGCGTTAGCTCACCCTGAAATCCGGTGTAATGAAGACTGGTTAGAGTTGCGGTTGAGTTGAAGACGACGGTACGTTTGTTGTACTCCACAATAACAAAGAAAGAAACACACAAGTAGGGGTCAGTACAAACACAAGTACTGAGTAGATATCATCGGCCAACTCAAAATAGAAAACAGTATATATCAGATAATATCATAAATTCAACTATAATACTCAACATGCGGCATTTACAGTTACCATAACCCTTGGTCACAACACCAAGCAAATCAATGGGGACTCACGCCTCCCCATCATGCTCATTTGGGAATTAGGTTCATTAAATTGAGTATATTAACATCTTTCAAGATTCATTATCTTTATTTCTCTCATGTCGGTACGTGACACTCCGCTCCATATACTATCCTGGTGTCGGAACGTGGCACCCGATCCATAAACTATCCTGGAGTCGGTACGTGACACTCCGATCCTCATATACTATCCTGGTACCGAAACGTGGCACCCGATCCATAAACTATCCTGGTGTCGGAACGTGACACTCCGATCCTCATATACTATCCTGGTACTGGAACGTGGTACCCGATCCATATACTATCCTGGTGTCGGAACGTGACACTCCCATCCTCATATACTATCCTGGTACCGGAACGTGGCACCCGATCCCCTAATTTCACTACATGTTCATCAAGCCTTCTTTTATACCAAGGCATCATCATTAACAAAGTAGATTAGGGTTTTTCAAGATTTAGGATTCAATAGCTTCATCATGCTTATTTTATCACAATTATATAATCACATTCATGCAAGCATACAATTAAGCATATAGAAGGGTTTACAACACTACCCAATGCATATCATTCGCTATTAAGAGTTTACTACGAATAGCATAAACCATAACCTACCTCCACCGAAGAATTCGTGATCAAGCAATCTACTTTCCAATGCCTTTGCTTTCCTCTTCGTTTCTTCTCTCCCTCTCGGACATTCTTCTCCCTCTCTCTCTCTGTTCTTTCTATTTTTCTTATTCAACCCTCTTTCTTTTACCCTAATTAGCATATAATTAAGTATAAAAGATGATGAATTAACCCATTAATTAATTCAAGGTTATCTCCTTTAACCCCCGAGTAATTAAATTATTAACATTAACCCACTAAATTTATAATTATAGCAGGAATAGTCCAAAACGCCCCTTAAAACATTTAACAGAAATCTGACCCGGCCTGGGATTACGCAGTCTGTGACGGCCCGTCGTGCCTGCGACGGTCCGTCCTGCTGCTTCCGTCACAGAGTTCAGAGACTAGATTTTTACCAAGGGTCTGTGACGGCCCGTCGTACCTGCGACGGTCCGTCCTGCCATGTCGTCACGAAGTTCAGAGAGTCGATTTCAGTACCAAAATTTCAGAATTCTAAGTATTTTGAAACGAGACCCCCTCGACGGTCCGTCGTGCCCATGACGATCCGTCGTGGGATCCATCGACCAAGACAATTTTTCCTGAAATAAAATATGCTGCTCAAAACGACTAAACAGGTCGTTACAATAATCCTATCAAACGACTACTACATCTGTTCCCTTATGATTCAAAGTCAATTACATGTTAATCTATTCAATTAGATCATTAGAAGGAAATTATAGTCATGCATGATCACATAGGTTCAATTCCAACTTCACTATGTCAAGATAATTATTAATACTAAATAAATTAGTAAAACTATCCCACTAATTTCATAATTATAATTATGAATAGTCCAAAACACCCACTTAAATCTATCAGAAAATATTTTCTAACATAAAAATTTCTAGTGCCCAAACCGACTACACGGGTTGTTACAATAAGTAATTAGAAAATAATAATAAATTAATTAAGAATATGAAAAAAAAAATAAAGCTAGCAAACCATGTAAAAAGAACAATTAAAGTTCTTATCATGTAATTAAGCATTAATGAATTTAAATTTGTGAAGCTAGAGTTATTCTTTAATAATAATCAAGAGGACATTATCAATGTGCGTCTCCATTTTGTAGATTTGCACCCTTGAAATTATTAAATTTCGTTATGTATCATAAAGAATATTACTTTATCCACATCAATTATATTATTCATGAGAGGGGTTAAGGAAAAAATTATAAGAAGAGGAAAAGAAAAGAAATTTAGGTAAAGATTTTTTTTAAAAAAAAATTATAACTATTATATACATGTAGATTATAGATGATAAATATTAATAGATTAGATATTTAATTAGGAATTAATCTTAGAAAGTCTAAAAGTTATTAAAATTTAATTAAATTTATACAATCAAATATTTAAATATTTTATAACAATTTAATTTATCGAAAGGATAAAATCGTAATTCAACTTTCAACTTTTTTGTTCATGCTTTTAATAATATATGATAAGTTTTCAACGGTAGGTTAACATAGTCCTCGAAAATAGATAACGAATCAAACATATTGATTGCTTAGGAACCCTATGTTTATTTCTTCCTTCAGTTCACGTTGTTTAGGGATCAAATTGCAATGATTCTCTATATCAGGTCACGTATATTTCCAAATTGCAAACAATAAAAAAGTTAAAACTTTGAAAGTTCATACCAATAATTCCAGAAAACAAACTCCCCTGTTTCAATTGGTTTGTTTGATTTTATTTGACACGAGACTTAAAGAACATAAAAGACTTCTGTATTAAAGAAACATCATATCAATTCTTCATTTTAATATACATTGATAGAAGACCTCCACATCATTGCAGTGAGAACCAGCTAGCTTACAGCATAACTAAACAAGCCACAATTCATGTTGTTCTCCCCAACCCCAGTGCATTTGACTATCCTACCAAGAAAATAAACCAAAAAATAAGCTAAAAGAAAGTTCAATACATATTAAGTTTCAGGATGACCAGGCTCAACCAAAAGAATTCACACTGAACACCCATTCACACTTTCGGTTGGAGAAGATCAAAGCAATACATCCAGCAACTGGAAATCAGTGTCTTCCTAATTCATCTTCAGCAGGAGTTTGGATGAAAGAGCTCAGAGAGGTGATATCACACGAAACATACTTCGTCTCTAAGGATGACACAGGAGATGAGTTATCCTTGGTCACTTGTGAACTTACAACCTGGGGCCACAGGAGCTAGTTAGATTGAAAAAGATCAAAATCTGCTGAGATAGTAGCATATCAAGTTTGTACCTTTATGGGGTACACTTCAGTCACCTCTTCACTATTTTCATTGAGGTAGACAACATCCTGCATAGTGAGCTGGTGGTATTCAACAATCTCCCTCAAGAATCGGTTCTCCCGTGTTAGGACTGAGTTCTCTTGACCCAACCTAGCCTTTTCTGCCAAAAGTGTCTCGAGCTGGAGCCTTATCTGATAGGTGCATATCACAACTACAATTATTTCCGTGAACACAAACTTGTAGAAAATAACAGAAATCTGAAACAAGTGCAACAAAAAAACAGGCACAAATGCCTTATCACTGCATGCCATGAGTTATGGCGACAAAGCAAGAAGGCCCATCCCCCAATAAACTCCATAATAGTAGGTCCAGGATATCCCAGTGCCATGACAGAAAGATGAACATACTGAAACATTTTGTTATCACTCCTTGGTTATCCAATAGTTACAGCAGTAATTTCTTTTAGTAGTAGTTATTTTTCAGTAATAGTACAGTTATTTTCATGTAATAGTGCATTTCTTCATTCCAGTTAAGTTAGGAAGTCATGTCCTAGATTCTAGGGGTAGTCATTTTTACAAATCTTGTATTTAAAATTAATTGTGTCTTAGGAAAGGGGAGCAGAAAATTACTAAGTCTTTTGAGTTCTTCAAACTTAAGAAAATGCAGGTTCTCTCTGACGGACCAGCGCATAGGTCGTAGGAAGAAAACATGCCGGGGGACCAAAACACTTTTGCTGCTGAAGAATGCAGCTGAGTTAACATAAAGTGCAAAACTCAACTGTCTTACCTTCTAAGGGGTAGTTTCGTAAGGAGTATTAGGAGAAATAATCCATATATTATGGATGATATTATTTGGTTACTATGTTTGGTAGGAACTTTGGGTCTATTGTGGTATTATAGGATGTATAACTAATACCGCACATTTGGTGGTATTAGTAATACATAGGATTTAATATCATCAGATTATCTATGTAAAGACAAAAATACCCATCAAATCAATTAAATCGTTTTATTTATTGTCTTGATTTTATGTTCTATATTTTCTACTAAATTCATTTAAATAAATTAGCTTACAAATTTTATTATTTAGAGAGAATCGTTTGTTCCTAAATAAATTCAATACCAATCAATACAGTATTTGAAATATGAGGTATTTAAAATTTAATAATTGAAAAGATAAATATATCACCACATAACGTTTGTGATCTTAAATGATTCTACTTTTTGTTGATATACATGTGATTTTCTAATTATTTGTATTTTGAACAATTTATAAAATAGCATACATATTAAAGCTGAAACTTACAATTGTGCAAGGGACTGTTTAGTGTGATGGATAAGGGGAGTTAATCCCCGAATAAATTTTAAGTAATCTTTATTTTATTGTTTGATTGCACAGCTTGGGATAATTTATCCCATGATTATGAATTAGTACCGGGATAAGCTATCCCTCACATTGGTGGTAAAGTAATTTCGGGATAAGTTATCGCGAGGTAAATAGGTAAATGACAAATATATTCCTTAAAATCCTTTTTATACATCATTTCACATTTGTGTATTTACATTATTTTTAATACCATGTATAAGAATATTCACTACTCCTTATTTTTATGATAATTATTCATATTTTTCTATTAAGAAATTACAATATATAAATATAATTTTTACTCATGAATTTATTTACTAATTCTTATGTTTCTTTATTTTGATTTCTCACTAATTTCCTTCTCTTTAACAAACTTAAGAGGGAAGTTCTGTTTTTAAGCTAAATAAGAAAAAAGTTATATTTTAAAATACATATGGTACTTATAATGGGAATAAACAAAAACATTTAAGCTAAATAAAATAAAAGTTCTATTTTTAAAAATGAATAACTAATGCTTGCAAAACAAAATAAAAAAAGATTAAATAAAGTAAAGGGTAATATTGTAAACAAACAACTTTTCTTAAAATTTATCAATGTATGTTATTTTAGATACAACAAACCAAACACTCAATAAGAAATAATCCACCACAACCTATCTCATCATAACCATTTCCAACATAACTTATCCCAACATAACTTACCTCATCATAACTCATACAAACGACCCCTATGTAAATGGTTTATTCGATTTACCTATTGTTTACCGTCTTTTCAGTTCTACGTATAGATGTTCTATCCTTTTTAAATTGAGAACTGACGTTTTGTGAGTGATCAATTTATTAAGATGAAATTTATTTACCCTCAAATAATTCGAGTGAAAATTGCAAACATTACTGCAAAATTGTTTTTTCCTCGCTCGTTAGAAGGCCATTAAAAAATTATATTCTCTGACAATTATCTACTTTCACCCAGTTAAAAATAAAAAAATCTCATAATAATTCAAGGGTATAATTGAAATGATGTTTTTTATAGAGTTTAAATCCAAACACAGTACTAATCCCTGCATTATAAATCCTTGCATTACTAATCCATGTGTCACTAATCATTCTACCAATCAATCCCTAAATGAATTGAAGAAAGATTTTGAACTGGATTATTTCATACTTCGTGTTATTATTTTGAGGTTTTGCTAAGTTTAATCCTTTGAGTTAAGCAAGGGAGTAGAAATACCAAATCATCATCTTCAGGACTTCCGCCCTTTTCACTACTCTCTCGAAGAATTCTGTTTTCTTCTTCCAGCTGTGCACAACGTTCCTTAGCAAAAGCCAGGTCAGCTTTCACAGTCTTCAGCTCCCGAAGAATAAGCTTTGCTTTTGCAGCCATTGCCATTGCAACCTGTAAACCCAAAATAGACATCATGCATCTCACAGAAATACATGTAATGTCTAAGACATGGAACCAGCAAATATTTAGAAAAGCTGTAAGCAACTTCATCTCTAGGATATTCACTGATCACAAGGCCACAACAGTGAGATAGATTAAAGTCATCAAAATCTATGTTGCTTGGACTCTCCAATAATGTTGGCCCACCCGTGTAAGATCCTTCAAAAATGTACTGACTTTAAAGGATCTGATATACACCTAGCGACATTTTTGAAGAGTCCGAGCAACATAGATCCAAATTAAAACTTCAGTAGAATTCCATGATGAACAATGTATTGTGGTAGATAAATACAATGTGATAAGTCATTGCTAAACCAGTGTTACACAATTGCCACCTTACGTCGCGAGATGCCTTGAGTTGAGTTTCCAAATCAGCCTGTGTCTGGGGTTGCATGTGGGCCCGCAACAGAGGTTGCTGATGTGTACCACTCATTGAAGCATTATTCTGTGGAATAGAGCTGCTATCTTTTTTCCTTATTTGCAGCTTCTTGGTTTCCTGAATGATATCTGCCGTACGATTCTCCATAACTGCAAGACCCTCCTGTGATAGTAAATCCAGATATTCTATCTTAATAAGAGAATCAGCATTTGCCTGAACAGATATCAAGAAAAAGGAGGCAGAAGGTGGTGCTGAAACCAATATTGATGGTTATAAGGTGAAAATACAAGTGCCCTTAAATAATAATAATAATAATAATAATAATAATAATAATAATGTTAACATTATCACGAACAAGAAAAGGCCACGATTATGTTTTAAAAAGAAAGGAGAACATTCTGTCTGTTGCTGTAGTTCATTTTTCTCAACAATTTAAATAATGAAAAAAAATCTGATGGAATAAATGCAATAACAGTTTAGCAGTGAAATATGCTACTGGATAACAGTAAAGATAAAAATATTTGTGTTATGTGAGCACACTGCAATGAAGTGCACATTAGTGTGTCTTTCATATTTTCCAATTTTCTTATGTTTGGTTAGTCGAAATATTTGGAAATATTTTCTCTAGGAAAAGAAGTTCCTTAAAAAATGAGGAAAATAACTTCCTTAATGGAAGTAGGGAAAACAAGTTGCATAGGTGACATTCTAAGTTTGTTGTCTCTTCCCACCCACCCAATCCTCCCAACCTCCACCCTTTGACCATCCCACCACCGCCACCCCCGAACACCCACTCTCCATCCCATCATGGCTTCCCATAATGTTTTGCTAAATAACATATAAATGCTCTAGGGACAGGATTTTGTTGCTTACCTACCAAACACTAGAAATAAGTAAGAAACACTTTTCCAAGAGAACTTTTTTAAGGAAATTACTTTCCTCGGAAAACATTTTCCTATATGCCAAATCCAGGCCTCATTTGTTTTCATTTAGATTAAGACGTCTAAATTTGAATGCACATCTGAATGATTAAGATGTTATCTTTAGAACAGACAATTGAATGATAAAGACTATTTTACAACATATGAATGTGCATATTTATTTATTTATAAATATAATAAATATAGAATTCAAATAAAATAGTTATTTACTATTAGAAAAATGTAAATTTAATAAAGTAAAATTATTTGATTTTAAAAAATATTATATTTGCTAGCGATGATGGATATGGTTTGTAACGATACCGGTCGCAATGGTTGGTACTAACTAGTATTGGTGGTGATGATAGTTGTGATAGTGGGGGTGGTTGTGATGGTGAAGTTGCTTAATGTTAGTAGTTGATGATGTTCGTAGTGGTGGTTGAAGAATGTGTGGTAGTTGACGATGTGTTGGTGGTAGTTAGTGGCAGTGCTAGTTGTGATGGCGAAGGTGGTTGGGTGTAGGGATCGAACTGAAGCAATGTAGTGGCTGATAGTGGTAGTGGTGGTAGTGAAGGCCAAGGTGAAGGTGAAGGTGAAGGTGATAGTGGTGGCAAAGTGGCAATGGATATAATAGAACATGGGATAAAAAGAGCATGACTAAATCTTAAAAACTAGGGTTAATTCGTATCTAGGATAGGGAAATACCTAGAAACCATGCTTGGGTCACTATACAGGAAGAAATCGTAATGCTCGATAGTTAATCCATCCTATCCCTGCTCAACGATGTAGATAGTGTATTACTTATCGTAGGCGATTAGAGGTCGACAGACCATTATCATACATTTAACCCTGTGATTCATACCTATATAAATGATATTGATTGCATGAATCATGATAGAAGCTGCAACCTTGGACTTTACCTAACCACTATCTTCAAACCCTTGAAATTGAATCTTGTTTGTTACATTGTGCTGAATTCTTAAAATTAGAAACTAAATCAGTTTTGAAATATTGACAACACTTGTGTTGAGCTGAAAGTTAGAAAAATGGAGTGATTCTGTGTAAGTCCCTATGGGTACGATACCCGACTCTTTATAAGAGCCACTTTAATACTTGAACGACCACGTGCACTTTTGTGTGCGATTTGAGCGCAACGGTAGTGATTATAAACATTGAATGATTAATAAGGCTTGTTTTCTCAACATATAAAAATGTTGAATTAAAAATCTATTAAGTATAAAATTCAAACAATACAACAACATATCCAATACAGTCCCACGAGATTAAATTAAAACAATATACTCCTTCCGTTTCAATTTTTTTTGTCTTGTTTTCCTTTCTAGAATGTTTCAAAAAGAATATAGTTGTCCTCTTTCTGGCAACTCTTTAATTCTAATTTGTCATATGGTATGTCTAAGACTGCAAGATTAAAGGAAATATCGATACATTTTACCTAACTTTGTTTAACAGGAGCAAAAATCTTTTACTTAAACTCTCCGTATAATAAAAAAAGAGAAACGAATTGAAATGGAGAGAGTAATTAAATTGAACTAACCTAATAATATATAAAATATATAGTTGATGATATTCAATGTATCTAAATTACATACTACACACAATATTTATATTTAAGCACTACGAGATGTTGTATCAAATAAGTTTAGAGAGAGTCTATTTGTGAAAGTAAGAATCACTTGTTGTTTAAGCATTTAATGTAGTTTGATAACCAAAGAGCAAATAATGGTCCTAAGACTTCATCTTTTAGTTTGACCTGTCAGAAAAGAATATGTATACACAATCCTACACGGAATAGGAATAGTTTATAGTCTCCTATTTGGTAAGGAATTGTATTGTAGTGTCTATAAATAGGGTTCTCTATGTAATAATTATAACAACAATTCAATAATATTCTTCTCTAATACTTCTCACATGATATCAGAGAAATTGTGAGAAAAAAAATAAAAAAGGAAAAGAAAAAGAAAAAATATCGCACTATGCAGTTTTTTCGGTAACCTAGTGGTTGTCCGGGTTTTAATATTTTCCGTCACTATTTTTCAAAAATTAACATCACCACTAGGTAAGGAACTTCCCGGCGACCAAAACCCTGTCATCCTCGCTGAAAACTAGTGTTGCACGTGCTGTCGGGAAAATTTATCTGGCGAGTTGTCAGATCCACAAGCCGGCGCATGAGGCCTCTTCCAGCCAGTTTTTCGCCAATTCTTTTTTCCTATGTGAATAGCCTCTTTATTCCGAGGCTGACCATATAATTTTTTTCTGATTCTGACCAACATCGGCGATCAGATCTACTTTTTCGGCAACAACCTATTTCTTTCCAGATTCCGACAAAAAAATCCAACTTTAGCTACTCATTAGAGTTTATTATTATATTTTTTCTCTACATATTCTAAATTCACAATATGTCTTTCGGATTGATACTTTTGGCTCCAAGAATATAGGAATTGCAAGTTCAAGCCCTATGTTCACTTCAGAACCGTTAATGGAAAGTTCAAACTATTTAGCTTTGGCTTCCTCAGTTGAGTTGTGGTGCAAGGATCAAGATGTCCAAGATCGCTTTAACGAACATTGCTTGTGTTCTAGATGAAAAGACAAAGGCTAGTGGGGAAGATGTAAAGGCCAAAGCACAATGGAGAAGGTTGATGCACAATTATGTAGTCTCTTATGGCTATCTATTGATTCTAAGTTGATGCCCTTGTTCCGTCCATTCAAAACATGTTATTCAATTTCGGATAAGGCTCGTGCTTTATACACTAATTACATCTCGATTCTATGATGTGATATCTCGTATGACCATCTTAAAGAAACAAGAATCAAGTATGTCCACCTACTTGAGACAAGTACAGGCAATCATGGAGAAATTTAAAATATTGATGCTAATCACCACGGACGTGCAAAAACAACAAGCGCATAGACAGACATTGTTTCTACTTCTTTCACTTGCTGGACTTCCTATTGATCATGATTCAGTGCCTGATCAGATTTTAGCTAGTCCTGTAATTCCTACAGTTGATGAATTATTCTCTCGTCTACTTAGTCTTGCCGCGTCTCCCAGCCACAAAGTAGTTTCATCGCCGACCATTGACTCTTCTGCTCTCGCATCTCAAACCATAGAAAAACAAGCATATCCATCTAAGGAGACTCGGCGAGGAGGAGGTCGTCTTGAAAAACCTTGATCCAAGTGTAGTTATTGTCATAAGTCTGGACAAACTCGTGACATATGTCATAATTTGCATGGTCCACCACCCAGTTATGATCCTGTTGTTCTAAAGGAATATAATTAGTTCCTTCGTAATCATTCAAGCAAGCAGAAATCTCCACAAGAAGCATTTGTTGCTCTGCCTGATCGACCATCCCACAATGCTCATATTGCTCAATCAGAATATGATGAGTTTCTTCAATATGAGCAAGTAAGCAAACATCTCCACAAGCAGCTTCGGTTGTTCAACATGATGTTGCGGGTAACTCTTTTGCTTGTGTTTTACAGTCTAATAATCATGGATCTAATAATCATGGATCATGGGTTATGGACTTGGGCTCTTCTAATCATATTTCTGGTAACAAATCACTTGTGTCATATATTGTTTATTCACAAACTCTTCCTACTATTACTTTGGCCAATGGGATACAAACAAAACATAAAGGGGTTTGAAAAGCCACACCTTTATCTTCTGTCACTCTAGACTATATTCTTTATGTCCCTTGTTCTCCTTTTAATTTGACATTTGTTAGTTGTTTGACACATGCCCAACATTATAGCATAACCTTTTTTGATGATTTTTTTCTCATGCAGGACCGCAGTACGAAACAGACGATTAGCACAGGACATGAATCACAAGGCCTTTACTATCTTAACTCTTCAAATTCCTTCACAGCATGCTCTGTTACAGATCCTCCGGACCTCATTCACAAACGTTTGGACATCTGAGTCTATCCAAACTTCAACAGATGGTGCTTAGTTTATCTAGTTTATCAAAGTTAGATTGTGAGTCGTGTCAACTATGGGAAACACACTCGTGCCACATTTTCACGTGGTGCTGAAGGTCATTTGTCTATTTTTTCATTAGTTCATTCTAATATTAGGGGTCCTAGTAGAGTCAGTTCCACCTTAGAAATTTGTTATTTTGTTAGTTTCATTGATGATTAGTCAAGATGTACTTGGGTTTTCTTAATGAAAGATCATTGGGTTATTTTCTATATTCAATGTTTCTTTGCTGAACTACAAAATCAGTTTGGTATTCTATTCGTATTTTTCGTAGTAATAATTCCTTAGAATACATATCATCCCAATTTCAAGAGTTTATGTCTCACCAAGAAATTATTCACCAAACATCTTGTCCATTATCTCCTCAACAAAATAGTGTGTAGCTGAAAGAAAGAATAGACATCTCATTGAGACTACTCTCACTCTCCTCATTGAATCTCATGTTCCGCTATGTTTTTGGGGCGATGTAGTCCTTTCATCTTGTTATTTAATCAATAGAATGTCGTTATCTTCTAACCAGAATCAGGTTCCACATTCCATATTGTATCCTCAGTCACATCTCTATTCTATCCCTCCTCGTGTATTTGTGGAGCACATGTTTTGTTCATAACTTAGCCACTGGAAAAGATAAATTAGCCCCCTTGCTATTAAAAATGTGTCTTTCTTGGTTACTCTCGAGTTCAAAAAGGGTATTGTTTCTATTCACATGATCTCCGTTGATATCTTATGTCTACCGATGTAACATTCTTTAAATCTCAACCTTACTACACATCTTTAGAGCATCCGGATGCCTCTGAGGTCTTACCCATACCTCAGGTGTTGCTTGTACCCAAGGTACCTATAATTACTTCTCCATCTCCAATTGCAGTGCCACCACTCCTAACTTATCATCCGCTTCCATGTCCAGCAATAGCCTCAAATGATTCATGTCATGCGCAAGACCCTGCTACTACTGTGGCTATGCCTCCTGCAAGCCAATCGATTCCACTTCAAAAAGGTATACGATCCACTCGAAATACTAATCCACATTATACTTTCTTAAGTTATCATCATTTATCTTCACCCCATTATGCCTTTGTTTCATCTTTGTCCTCTATTTCCATCCCTAGGACTAGAGGAGAAGCACTTTCTCATTCTGGATGGAGGTAGGCTATGATTGATTAGATGAATGCTTTACATTCGAGTGGTACTTGGGTGCTTGTCTCCTTCCTTCAGGTAAGTCTACTTTGGTTGTCGTTGGGTTTATGCGGTCAAAATTGGTCTAGATGGTCAAGTCGATCGGCTTAAGGCTCGCCTTGTTGCCAAAGGGTATACTCAGATATTTGGGCTAGATTATACTGACACTTTCGCTCCTGTAGCCAAAATAGCATCAATTCGTCTTTTTCTATGTATGGTTGTCGTTCTCGCCTCTTCATCCGTTGAACACTAAAAATGCATTTTTGCATGCTAATCTTGAGGAAGAAGTCTATATGGAGCAACCACCAACCTGCTAGGGGGAGTCTAGAAGCCTTGTATGTTGATTGCATCGATCACTTTATGGTTTGAAATCGTCTCCTCGAGCTTGGTTTCGAAAGTTCAGTACAATAATTAAGGAGTTTCGCATTACTCGCATTAGAGTTGATCACTCTGTGTTCTATCAACATTCAGCACCAAATTTGTTTACTTGGTTGTTTACGTTGATGATATCATTATTATCGACAATGATCAAGTTGCTATTGCTAATTTGAAGCAGTATCTCTTTCAACATTTTCAAACTAAAGACCTTGGCAGACTAAAATATTTCCTAGGTATTGAGGTTGCTTAGTCTAGATCGGGTATTGTTATTTCTAAACGCAAGTATGCTTTAGACATTCTTGAGGGGACAGGAATGATGGGATATAACCTATTGACACTCATATTGATCCAAAAGTTGAACTCCTCCCATGACAGGGGTAATCTTGAGAGGTATAGACGGTTGGTTGGAAAGTTGAATTATCTCACGGTGACTAGAACGAACATCTCTTTTCCTCTGAGTGTCATCAATCAGTTTATGACTTCTCCTTGTGATAGTCATTAGGACGCAGTTGTTCAAATTCTGCAATATATAAAATCAGCTCCTGGTAAAGGACTACTCTTTGAAGATCAAGGCCATGAACATATCACCGGATATACAGACATTGATTAGGCAGGATCACCCTGTGATAGACGTTCCACATCCAGATATTGTGTTTTAGTAGGAGGTAATTTGGTGTCATGGAAGAGTAAGAAACAAAGTGTGGTTGCTCGATCTAGCACAAAAGAAGAATATCGAGCAATGGTTGTAGCAACTTGTGAGCTAGTATGGATCAAATAGTTGCTTGGAGAATTGAAGTTTGGAGAAACCGGTCATATGTAACTTGTGTGTGATAATCAAGCAGCCCTTAATGTCGCATCAAATCTAGTGTTTCATGAGAGGGCTAAGCACATTGAAATTGATTGTCACTTTGTCAGAGAAACGATACTCGCCGAAGATATTGTTACTAAATTTGTGAAGTCAAATGATCAACTTGCTAATATCTTCACCAAGCCCCTCAACGGTCCTCGTATTAATCATATTTATAACAAGCTAGGTACATATAATTTGTATGTGCCAGCTTGAGTAAGAGTGTTAGAATAGAATAGGTATACGCAATCCTACACAGAGTAGGAATAGTTTATAGTCTCCTATTGGGTAAGGAATTGTATTCTAGTGTTTATAAATAAGGTTCTCTATGTAATAATTATAACAATTCAATAATATTCTTCTCCAATATTTCTCACAGGACAGAATTAGAGCTCTTAAGACCCACTAAGTGGTAAAAAATAAAATTAGGTAAAACATACACACTTAATGGGTTGTGATCTGAATGATTCAAACTCATATGTCCAGTAAGTGCAAACAAATGAGGCCTTAGTAGTCCATCCTTAGTAAAGAAATTTTTTAAAGTAGTAAGTGTTTTTTTATAAAAGTGGTATTCTGGCCAACTTAATCACACCTCAACTAATTCCATATGGTACATGTCACCGCCTGCCAACAACAGGTACAAGTAACTCTATCCACCAACGGTAGAACAAATGGGGAAGAAATCACTTGGTATTTTGAGCATCACTCCTTGTAACATGACAAGTGAAGATGCTCAAAGCATTGAATGTGCCTCCTGCCAACATTCTGTACATATACAACAATCCAGCAAATGCAACAAAATACATCCAAATGATTACTTCTCAAGCACAGAAATTTAGGCACTTAACTACAAAGTTTATTAGATATATCTCTTAGTACTCATGAATCTAAAGCAGTTAACTTTGAAGTTTTTCACTGTTACATAACAAAAAGATTCAGGCTTTTAAGTTGGCTTGTCAAATTTACGAATAAAAGAACTAATGCCTTGTATTGCAACATAATGTATTCAACTATATGATTCTCTTCCGAACAAACTGGAGCTACTTAACTTCTCAATTTTTTGAAAGTAGAAGTTATTCTATGATACCTAAAACCTATCAGATCAAAACGAACATAGATAAAACCCTACATATAATTTAAATTATTTATAAAGGCTACAACAACGACAACATACCTAGCGTAATCTCACAAGTGGAGTCTCCTTGTAAAAATAGAGAAGTTGTTTTCAATAGACCATCGGCTCAAGTATCAAAAATTATTTATAAAGACTAAAAACCAAAAACTATAGAAGCAAGAGATTCATGTAGGTGATACCAATTAGATAAATTGGGATAAAGTTGTCGTTTTTACACTAATCAAAGTTTCAACATTTGCCAAGAGTCGTTATATAGTGGCCAAAGACTTGTATATACACATAAGGATAAGTGTGAAACGTAACCTCTATCATTATAACCGTTGATAGACAAGTAATGGAACAATCCACCCAAACCACCGAATAGATTTGGATTGAGGCGTAGTGGAGTGATCAAGATTTTAAAATATTTTCCAAATCCACAAACTTAGTACATCCAAAAAGTTTAAATGTGGCATTTCTTGATGGAAGTTATTTTTTTTGAAACTGGTACCTTTATTCTTAATGGAAAATTGTGGAAGAAACTTCCTACAAAAGCATACCTCAAAAGCATTTCCAATGGTCCCGCCAATATAATTAAGGGAAGATGCAAGAGCATCTAATCCCTTCTGTAGTTTATGGCCCTCAGCTTTTCTACGGCTTTCAGGCAACTGTTTTCTGTCATATTGCTGCAATCCATAAAATAAAGGTGCAAAATTCAGAATCTATAACACCAAAGTGTAATTCATAGACCATCATCACATGGCCGAAGAAAAGTTTTAGCAATCATGCAACCATAAAAATTTAATTCAAAAATAAATTTCTTACCTGACCAATGGTTGCATTATCAGGCATATGCTGCATTCTTGTGCTTACTTCACTTAGATGTGGTTGGTCTGTATTATTATCATCAATAATAGATTTTGCTTTCCTAGCCAATACTCCCCAAATACCTTGTTTGGATTCACTCAAGTTTTTCATTGATGTATACTCATAGATGGACGAATCCTGCATTTAAAAAGAGTATTCTTACAGCAAGGAGAACTCCATTTATCAGCTGTAAAAGAGACTATGAAAGTCAAACAACTGATAACAAGGTCAGTAACTCTATGAATCGTCCTTCTGCCCAATCCCTTAACACCAACTGGTGGAAAGATTCCCATTCCCTATCCATCTAAACTTCTTTCTTTCTCTAAACTTGGCAGACAATCCTTATCCTGTTTCCCTATCATCTAAGGATACGACTTGAAGCATCTAAGGGTGTGTGACCTAGCAACCAATGAAATGGATTGACAACCATGAGTTCTCAAATTCAAATTCCAATGGAGACAAACAATACTATTCCTGTTTCAAAAAGAATGACATAATTTGACTTGTAACAAGTTTACAAAAATTAAAAAGACTTCAATTTTGTGGTCCTAAATTAAAGTTATGAGAAATGTATCAAAATGTCCTTCAATCTTGTGGTCTTAAACATGTCACGTGGAAAGATGAAATTAAAGTGCTACCGAAAAAGGAAATGGGTCATTTTTTCTTAAACAAACTAAAAAAGAAAGCAGGTCATTCTTTTAGAAAGAGAGAGAGCATGTAATTCTTCCTAAATTTCCAAGCCTGAGTAGACAAAGTTACCCAGTACCTACTTTGGTGAGAGATATCGAGTATCCAGTGACAAGCTGGTACAAACAGCACAATTATAGAAAAATAGATACAAGTGGAAACTGCAGATGCAGATATGCATCACAGATCTTATGACTCCCCCATCCCCCGTTGGTGGCAAGAGCCTTTCCTATTCCCCATCCCTCCATATCTTTCCTCCCCAAAGATTGGAAGTCTATCATATCCCTTTCCATATTATCCAAGTAACCGAAAGAAGAACACTACACTCTGTAACAGACATATAGACTGTACTTTTATATGTAGCTAAAGAAAAATTGGATGCTGACTTTAATTTACAACTCAGAAAAGATAATATAACATCTAGTAATAGACACATACCAACCCAAGAAACCAGAGGATCAAATTTGACATTTTACAAAGGGAAATTGTATGATTCCTCCTTCCTCTGGTTTCCTACAAGACCACTCCTAGGAATTGAAAGAGTAAGTCTATGTAAATGCGACAATTATATACTGCATATGCACAAGGAAAAACAAGATGAAAAACAGCACAAATCACTATTACTTGTAACATCAGTGTAAAAGTACAACTCAACAACAAAATTACAGAAAAAGTGAGTTCTTTGTCCTACAAAAAAAGCAGAAGAATAGACACCATCAACCCATAACAACAACACGCTAACATGTAGTTCTAGTCTCAACATATAGCCGCCTAAAATTCATCGAGATAGTGAAAGTGTGAAAAGAAGCAAAATTACCAAGAGCAGTGGTGGAAATGAGTAAAATGCTAAACAAAAACTGTAATGTACTAAAGGCAAGCAAGAGCTAACCTTAGCTGTTGAAACCGGAGCAGAAGATCGTAAGGGATTTGAGTCGCGAGGAGATGATTGACCATAGATGGGGGAGAGAGAAGAGTCTTTGTATGGTAATGATGCAGTTGAAACCGGAGCAGAAGATCGTAAAGGATTTGAGTGGTGAGGAGATGAAAGAGCTGACTGACCATATGCTGAGGAAAGAGAAGAGTCTTTGTATGCGGAGGATGCTCTTATGGCCTTAGCAGCCAGAGAAGAAGCAGATGATGAAGACGAACTCTCATCGGGAAGGGGTGGCGGAGTAGAAACCTTAGGAACCTGCTGTTTTCTCCTGTAAGCCATATATATATATATATATATATATATATATATATATATATATATATCAGGTAGCTCAATTCGAGTCCCTTTGCCGCTACAACACACCGACACAAAAACTGATAGAAAAAAAATTGGGTTTTACGATTGCATATCAGGGACTGAAATGGAATGGAAGAGAGAAGAAAGAAATTTGGTTATACTTGAATTTCAAATTCTGCCAGTGTAATTTCTCAGCCGATTGCCATCACCGGCAGAGACGAAGAGCATATACGATAAAAATGTCAACGCCTTCTGCTAAGCTGGCATTTGAAGTAAGCCAACAATCAGATCTCATTCTACTCTTCCATTCAACACTCACGGGCCTAGTGGGCCGAAATAAAAAGGAAACATACGTAAATATACTAAAATAAAAAAAAAAATTTATTATTTATAGTAATAATATCTTTTTTTTATTTGATCACTTTTAATTTATTTATAATACAAATTTAATACATATTACAAAGAATAATTTATTATTAATATATAATACAAGTTTTAATGATTGATAATACATTAATCACAAATTTTAATAAACTTATAATAAAATGTGTCAATTTTTTACCAAAAAAACATAATATATTTCAAAAAACAATTATAATTCATATATATTGCATACATAATTCATTTTTAATTCATATTGCAGATTTAACATATTATTATTACAAATGATAATAAATAAAAAGTATTGCTGAAATCAGTAATAAACCCATAAACTATTTCGCTATATTTTTTTAAAAAATTTCTTTCATTTGAAATTAAATCAATGAAATTAAATCTCTATTTACGTGATATATCGATCGGATATATCACTTTATACAATATATCAAGATACATGTGGTGCATCGGGACGTTACAAATGCATCACATTATACGATGTAACAGCATGTTAAGGATATATTTGAAATCGAGACGTGATGTATCGGGATATTTTAGAATGTATCCAGATTTGACATAATTAAAGGGATATTGTACTTAAAAAATATTATGGATATGACATAAGTAGCTTCTAACACTTTGAAATTTGTGTAAAATCTATTTACCGAGGAAATTTCATTAAAAAACTAATTCTAGAAAAATAATTAAGTTTCAATCTAGCTAAGGTTTATTTAATTACAAGTCGAGCTATAACTTTATCAGCTTTTGCGATTAGTATTTGTTATCTCGCATTTTTAAATATTCTATATACAAATACAATTGTAAATTAATTCTTAATTGATGTGGCAAAATCATTTTAAAATGAAAAATATCGCACGAATCACATTAAATATATTTTCTTACAATTTCATATCAAAATGATCTCTTCATATAAACTTTTCCCTTGATTTTCATCTACTAGGTTTCAATAATCAAAAATCTAGTTTGACTTCTTCATTCATAATACAACAAACATTAAAATTGATATTCATTTCAATACTTACTTTCTAATTATTCATTTGAAATAAAAAATAGTTTGAAATCATAAACTTTAAAATATACAAATCAAAATGTATATAATTATCATTAACAAATTTAATCGTAAAAGATATACAAATGATAAATGCTAGACAATTATTGTATATACACAATTGACATAGTTTATATATATATATATATATATATATATATATATATATATATATATATATATATATATATATATATAACATTGATAGAAATACGGAAACCTACAATAACATTGATATGACTGAAAAACTCATATAATGTATGTAACATCATGTAAAAATTATTGATACAAATACAACTCGCGAAACAACACTTGAAGCATTGATTAACAACAACAAAAATTAACTTTAATAAAATGTATGTGTCCACTAAATGTCAATGGACCATGTCCTTTGATAGAAATAAAGTGCGGAAAGTGAATGACTCAAAGTAAAACAGACACGAGAGTTGTATGTGGAGACCTTTTTCTCAAAGGAGGAGAAAATCATAACCTGTCTCATATGGGTTCAACTCAGCTCCATTTCACTCAAAACGGTGCAAAGACTTCAGATGAGAAATCTGTAGTAATTTAGGAATCAAACTATTAATCTCTTCTCCTTACTGTAGCAACAATACTACAAAAAATAAACTAAACAACAACTTTATTTTACACTAAACCAACTAGCTCTAGTCGAGTTAAACTTCAAAAACTCAACATAACTAAGTCTAGCTAAACTTGGTTGTGATAATCTGGAATTTTTTTATTTTCATTATTATTATTGTTATTGTTATTATTGTTATTATTATTGTTATTATTATTATTATTATTCTTATTATTATTCAAAGACCCTTTAGCGTTTAGGGCGTAGCAATACCCCTATACCTTAACATAAATAAAAACAACAAAAGTACAAGGAGAGGAGCACAAACCTTGCCTTCGAACCTATGGTAGTTCAAAGTCGACTAGCCTACTAATATTAGTAAACTCATCACCTGTCACATCCGAGGAGCACCCTTAGACGTTAGCGGCGTTGGCATCCTCATCGAGGACTAAGACTAACCTCTTAGCTTACATCATTACATTCATAGGTTAAATCGCGAAAAATTTAAAAACTTTTCTATATCTATCTTGAGGTTTACATAGACCTATCGCATATACATAATATATTCATATCGAGTATACATAGACCCTTCGTATAAGAAGATTACTTAGTATTATACTTTTATTGCATATATATATATATATATATATATATATATATATATATATATATATATAACATAGTCTTAAAATCGGATGTCTCATTTCATAACTATCACTTCCTGAAAGTAACCCCTAGAAGTTAGGGAGAACCCTTGGGTCATGACTGGGCGTACTTGACCTTCTGGGGTATTGTACAAGCCCTTAACTATCGGTCATTACATAAGACGGGAAAAGTGGTGCGAAATTAAAACTTTTCAAGACATTTAATATAAAAAGGAAATCTTTCATAAATACATAAGGAATCTCATCGTCACAAGCCAACTTAAATACACGACATAATTTCTTAGGGACACGGCCCATTACATTTAAAGAAGTACATAATAGGTACTTATACAAAACTAAACGAATCAAGAACTATGCCCTCGAATATATGAGGACATACTTTGTCTTGATAGAATCCAATCCCAAGCTTTGCCTTCTAGACTTCAACCTTGCTTCCAAAACCTATACTTATAGAGTATAGAAAAGTATGAGGTTAGTGCAAAACAATGTACGAAGTATGGCATATGCAAAAACATGCAAAAAGGGACATTTTAGTAAAATACGCTTTCATGCCAATTAGAACAATCCTGAATTTAGAAACAAAACAACATAAGAAACATCATTATCACTTAGATAAGGATTTCCATAATTTTATAAAAGATACACTTTTCAGTAACCTTTCCAAACTTTACAGTAAACTAGCTAGCCTCTACAGTCAACTTCTTTTAACATTACAGTGAACTAAAATGACTCCAAAGTAGTGGACTTCCAAGGTATTGACAATGAGGAAATGAACTCATCTCCGTCGGAGTTTCCCTAACTAAGGTCGTCCTAAGACTCACTAAGGTAATACATGAAGGAAGTACGGATATGACTCCTTCAATACACACCAAAGCGATCCTCAAGACTACCCCCTTTTTGGCGTACTCACCTCGGGAGAACAAGCCCCCACTCAATGGCAATACAATAGAAGAACACCCAAGCAACACACCAAGACTTCCCTTTGGGAATGCCTACTTAATGCAATGAGTAAATGGTGTCCCATACCACCACCTACCCTAAGTAGTACACTCTTTTAGAAGGCTTGGCACCAAGACTCCCCTTATGTAAGGTCTACTTAGTGCAATGGATAGATAGCATCCCATTTCACTACCTACCCTAAGTAGTACGTTCTTTTAGGTGAGTTCATTCATTCAATTCAAATAAGACTCATAAAGACTCCCCTTTTGGAATGCTTGCATAGTGAAATGGATAAATAGCGTCCCATTTTATTACTTACCCTAAGTATCACACTCTTTTAGAAGACTCCGCACATTCATTACTTTTGTGGGTGGTTAGCTTAAACGACATAGACCATAAGATCTAGACATGGAATCCCGATATTAACCCTTATCGGATGAGGGATCCTCACTTCCTAGAGTAAGGTCATTCTCTTAGCTTACATGGCTTGCCCAAGGGCTACACCTATCCGGGCGCATAATTAAGGGATTAGGAGATTGCTACTAAGTAACTTATTCTCTACTAACTAGGAGTACTCATCTTAAGAGGTACATTGGAATACAACATCTCAACTCACGAAGTGTAACAACCTTTTTTTCATATCCTCTCGGTGCTAGGCATAACTTCCCATGGATTCTCAACATTATAAACTATAGGTTAAGGATAACTAGATAACACCACATCTCAACTTACGAAGGGCATGCATCCTCCAACCTATCTTAGAAAGCTCTTAGGATGTAGTAGGGTTGCTAATAAACACTTCATCTCAACTCATGGAGAGTGTTCACCCCAAAACTCCCCTTTCGACTTAACTTAGCTTCATTCATTCATTCAAGTGTGAGTGTGAGTATGTGTACATGTGAGCACACCTTGCACATAAGCATCATGTCATTTAAATTAACTTCTATACATGATATAGACCTTCATTCATCCAATCACACACTTTACATGCTTCACATAATCATGTACTTCATTTAGGCATATTCTCTAGCCTATTACATAATAACTTCAATAAGCACCTTTAACAAGAATAACATCATTTTCGTCTCACTTCACATAAAAAGCCTCCATGGACTCATTCACAATAAACAAGTACTTCACATTCATATAAGTCGAGTAAACACCGCCACCAATAGCGGTGTGCAAAAACCGAACCAAAAAAATATTATTGGGTTATTTTTACTGGGTAATTGGGTTTTTAATCGGTTTACAAAATAAAGTTATTGGGTTATTGATTCGGTATCGAGTTTTATATTGGGCTATTAGGTAAACCGATAACCCAATAAGATAGTAATAATATACTATTTTACCCTCCCTAATAATTTAATATGTAACTAGACACTATAACTATAACAAATTATTAATACTCTATCTACTTCACACTAGGCCGCTTTACTAGTTTTTATTGTTTACTAAAAACCTAAAAACTAATTTAAGGTTTCCCAATTGTAGCTTTTGATTTTAGTTTTAGTTTTAGTTTTAGTCTTGTTGGACTAGTTGATTTTAGTTTTAGTTTGTAATTGCAGGTTGTAGCATTTGCAAGTTTGTAAAGGTCCGTACTATGTTTTGGCGGTGACATGTAATTATAACCTTCATACTATATTTAACTAAGTAAGAAGTCATATAGTATTTTACGGATATTTCCTTAT